TGAAGAAAGCATTGGCCTCGACTTTGTTACCATCATATGGTATCAGCCTATAGTATATCAGCCATCTCTTGCGAACCCAGGTCTTCGAGCTACGGCAGGGCCACGGAACCATGCACAGATATCAGGTCTGCGAAAGCTCAGGCGCAAGAGAACCCACCGCGGACATGTTGACATGCGGATTTGTCCTATTCTGACGGCCCCAATTCTTATTCGATACTTTTCAAGACACCTTCCAACCTTTGCATGCCATCTCGAGACGGCACAGGTCAAGCTTTCCATGAAGAGGATTCTGACTGTCCTCACTCGTCGCGAGATCCACCAGCAGGCGGTGCTTAGGTCTTTGGGGCTTTCGGTGCTCATTCCTACATGCTGGATGGGTCAATGTGGGGACGTGCCGGGAAAATGCATTCATGTGGCACATTACAAGACAAAAGCTGCGAAACGACGTGTTGCCCTGCCACTGCCCAGTTTCAAGTTTGAGGTTTAGGATTTCTATTCCTTGCACATTCACCCCCCCCCCCCCCCCCAAGAGCGCCTTTGTGTATTTCCCTGTCGAAGATGAAAGATGAAACCCTGTAGGAGCAATCCCGTTGGCAAGTCCAAGACTTTCCGGATCAACACGTGGTAACTGTTCAAGTTACGGTATTTCAGGCACAGTATTTGCAAAAGTTATAGCCGATAGTCCAACCAGGGCCATACACACCTGCGGATGCTGTTTTGGATGTCGCGACAGGCGATCCGTGCCAAAGAAATGCTCGTGCAGCAGAACCGCCGTGAGGCTTGGCGGTCTCCTGCGCCGGTGGATTGTTGAAGACCTGGCTCTGAAATACCTGATTACTATACCATTATTATGATGATTACTATTATTCCTATAGCTAAGACTAGTACTAGTGAGGAACTCAGTCTTCGAGGTAGCCAGCGACCGCCTTCCGCAGGGAGTGCAGGTGTTGAAGGTCTCTTAGCCTTGTTGTAGGTTTGTTAGCTCCGTTTCAGTGCTCACCAACGGCCATCAGACCCCGTGCACAGGAGCGGATGCCTGCATCCGCATGCAGAGAGAGAGAGAGAGAGAGTCCTCAGGATGGCTACGTGGCCAATCGCGTTTGTCCGCAGATCCAGCCTCCGTGCAAAGTGTCGACATTCCAAGCATATGGGTATTTCTATAGGAACCAAAAAAGGCTGGCACACTCCTATATACAAAGGACCGTAACAGTGACCTTAACTTAGAGAACTACCCATACAGTCTCATTTCCCACTCGGTAGTCCTTCAACCTCGACGCCCGCTTCCCCGGCGACGCACCTGCAAGAAAAATCCATCTTACTTGACAGGAGCTCGAAACGCAGCGCTTCCATTTAGAGGAGTCGATGAAGGTTTTGAGCCACAAAGCTGCTTCCTGAGTTTCCTGCGACCACCTGATGGAATCCGCTCATGTTCAGCTGCAAAGACGTGTAGAAAAATGAATAGACACTCCCGTTTTCAGGTGGTTCTGTTTTGGGTCGCAGGGACTGGCTCAGGCAAGATCAAAGAGATGATTTGGAATTATGGCTGTGCACATAGTAGGTAAAATTCGGTGTTAGATCCGTCTTGCTAGGTTCCGAAACCCTACGTTTGCTAAGCCCATCTCCAAACCGCCAGCATCACAGCCCGGCGCACCCAGATACGGCGACAAGAGCCTCGCGACTCCATCGCCTTAGCTGCCTGGAAGGCGGGAATGCTTGTTTCATCATGGAGCTGAATTGTGAATTAGATCCAAGTAGTGCAAGTATCTTAGATAGCAGCAGCTGTCGTACCGCTGTGGCTGTCATCAATGTCACTATCATCTTGCAGCTGAAGACCGGACCTACCCCTGTGTCTGCTGCAGCCAACGACGACAACCAACTACTACTATTGCTCTGCTGCTGCTACTACTACAACAACAACTACTACTACTACTACTACTACTACTACCACTACCACTACTTCTGCTACTACTACTACTACTACTACTACTACTACTACTACTACTACTA